TTGCCCGAGAATGCAAAAGGTGTAGGCAATATCTTAGGTTGTGGGTGCTCCTCGGATTCTTGCCGCCGGCGCTTCGCGTTCTTTTCTTTTCCATTCGGGTCGGGATGACAAACACTAAAAGGACATTCCGCTTGGCTCTCCTCTATGTCTGCCCGTGGGCGTTTACGAGCGGTCGCCATTGTCGTAGGTTTCGAACGAGGAATTTAGTTAAATTTGGAAGTAGACGTTGGGTAGACGCGATCTAGGACTGTGTAATGGATGTTGGTTGCGCTTGAAGGAGGGCGTAGAGAAATGTTTGGTCGATTCGCGCAATCGGTACTGGGCACCAATGGAAGCTAACAAACAAATGGTAGCTACCTAGCTAGGAAGATGCGATTACGGTAACACCTAAGCGAATCTTACCGCGTATGTGCTGATGGAGGGTAGAAGCTCGCGAGTAATTGGGATTTGGAAAAATGCTGTGAAGGGCGACGGGGATTTTACATAGGTTATGTATACCCTAGGTAATGGGGGAAAGCCTGGTTTATATCTACATTCTTAAAGCTATCATGTATAGTAACCTTTATTTCAGCTCTTCCTTTAGCATCATACAGGGAAATTGCGAATACGACTTGTAGCGGATTAATAACTACTTCTGTCTCCTCCGATGTAGCCAAGGACCTACGATTATATTACAATGGGCATTCCAAATTCGGTCGCCATTTAGGGGTTCTCGTCTTCTAGAAGTATGCCCTCCTTTCTTGTTCGAAATTGGCTTATCTTTCCTTGTCATATTACCAGTAATAGTTTATATACTACCTAGGACTCTTAGGGAGATTCTGTCCATACTCTGACGCTTTATTTGCGGGCTAATCTTAAGCTTTTTCAAATGGGGAAACATAAGAGACCCAATTGGGAATGCAATCGTTGTTTCAAAAGTGCAGATTCCCTTTTTGTCTCCATGGATCATGGAGTCCATCTCTCCCACCAACGTATATGCCAAGGGTTAGATGCTGAAGGGAAGAAACCTCTCGGTATTCTGCCTTATTGTATCGTATCCCATTGTACCTACCAGCCTCCCAATCTTCAAAATGCGAAAACTTGGGAACAGCATTATCGTGACAAGCATAAAGTGCCGGCAACTGAACAGGACCTTACATTGCTGCGGCTAAAATATCAAAGGGAATTATTATCTGATATAAATCTAAACAGTTTTTTCAGGGGATTTCTTGAAAAGGCCCTTTAGTACAGTTCTCCGACCTCAAAGCGCAATGGGCCGCATATGCAAATAACCCTATCGTTTCCGATATTCCTCATTATCTTCGCGAATATCGCAACCAATTCTGGTATGTATATGGGAGGCGTAATCACTAGGATGTATCTGATAATTCCTAGGGATTTATTCCAGGTTGTTCCGGTCTCATTTTATTTACACGTCAGTGACATAACCCCCCAAGTCATTACATCTCTCATTTTACAATTGATGTCTGCCGATGACTCTTGGATAAACTTCACAGAATGTCAACTGAAAACATATGGGATCGCCGCTTTGTTTGGGACGTATGGTTCTATTTATAGATCCTAGGTAATTTTCTCCTAATGAGACTTTATTAATATTAATGTGGAAAGCAGGTATATCATTTGGTCATTAAGGTAAACCAAGATGTAACTTACAGCTTTAAACCACTTATTCTTAAATAGAATCATAGTAACAAAATAAAAGAAGTTCAATCTCTACAAAAGAAGGACTATGTTAACATTATTATTAAGATCATCTCTACTGGTAAGCAGGTTCTGCTACCTGCACTTTAGGATTCACTGACAAAAACGTGTTGTCAGACAGAACTATTCCTTATCATAGATAAAGCGTTAACAGCCGTATAATATGAGACTTTATTTGCATTTCAATGACCTGAATATGCTACCTATAAACCATTATTGATTCTCTTTAATAAAGGAATAAGGGTTAGCGGCCTTGTGGTAAATCCTCGTGATGTTATGATATTGATGTTGAATCTAGGGCAAGAAAACCTAATATGATTTTATATTAGATAGATCGATATTTGCCATCATTGATAATTCCGTTCCCAACTTTCCTAGAATCTCTCGGTGCTCTTCGACGAATAAAAAAGGAAGATTTTATATCAAGAGCTAAAAGAATAGGGGGAAATCTCCGCGAACTACTAGAACATCTTGATCCAAATTATAAAAAAAGGAGAATCGATATATTTATATATATTAACAGAGACATAGTAGCAAAGGCAAGCTTATATGAGGCTGCTCTTAATCTAAACATTCACTAGATATTGTTCTTAGATAAAGGAATAGATGATCCAGAAACGTTAGAAGGCTTGTTTAGGATAAGGGGAGGTTTGTTAAGGAAGTATTTAGCAGGAGATTTGGGATTATATATTATATACTCTGATTATCTAGATGAGAAAGTAGAAGAATGCACTAGGTGCCTAGGAAAGATATGTTTAGCTTATTAGGGAGCTTCCCAGAATCGCATTGAGACATGCTTGCCAGTAATTAAAGGGGTTTAAAGTTTTTAATCAATATAATAGTAACCTAGGTACCTATATAAACAAATAAAAACCTCTCTAGGAATTTTATGGGGAAGGTTTTAATTAAATGCTGTGACGAACCTATATTCCTGACTAGGTATAGTCGTTACTGGATTGGCTGATCCGGGATGTCTTGATCTGAAGGTAATAATACAAGTAGTAGGTCAAGTGGTAAAATGGATTCTGTTCGTTAGAGAGGTATGGAGTCCTCTCACTATATTGGGAAGATAATCTTAGATTAATAATTAAAGAATTATGAGAGAATAATTAGTTACATAGGAGATGATGTGATTTATATAGGTAATGCTTCTCCTTCCTTCTCCTGTTGGTTATACCTGGTTTGGTTTAGATATGTTCATTGTTCAGCACATCTAGCACATCCATCCCCTAATGGATGTATCTGGATGTACTTTCGTAATTTCTGAGCCTTACACATCCATCCGGACTTTACCCATGATTGGTCAATTGTGTTCCATTTTTAAGTCGGAAAATAGGTTGCAATCGATTAGGTTATGACAGGATATAGAAAATCTCGTCGTAACCAATCCCGCTAATATAGTCCCTCTCATAGAACACCAATATCTGATGCTATCCCCTTTGCGCGTGTCGCTTTTCAACATAGAGCGAGCGTAGATTTTCCTCGATATTTTTCGCGTCCGATGCTAGGTAGCTAATGGGCGGTAGATAAGGAGACTTTGTGTAAGATGACGAGCTTGGTTGTCAACAGATTCGAATAGTCGTGGGGAGCCTGCGCAAACTTAATATTTTCGATCGAGAATCAGGTATGGTTGACCTTGGATCAGATAATCGATTACCAGCCGTGCGTGTGGTAGTCACAGATACAATATTGGTCGCAGCTCCTGGGGTAAGACTCGTTTTCCATGTAGGCTCGCTCCGGACACTGCTTCAAATTGGCCACATCAAGCGAGGTGTGGCGCTGTCGCTCACACAGTAGCTGACGTCGTAGTGACTCGGTCAGTTCCGTAGCCAACATGTTCTTCCTCGTTTCACTGGGCGAGAGAGGAGCAGCTCGATGGCGGTGGTGGTAGTCAGTCAGAAACATAAGACTAATGAGTGACATCTGACGGGCAGGATTCGCTTTCGATGGAACACACTTCAAGGTAACTATGTCGTCTATGCTTGATTTGTCGCTTTCCTCAATGGCATCCTCCCACCCTGAATCATTGTCGTCTATGTAGGTATTTGATTGATTGCTAGGGGTCTCTGAGGCCTGCGGTTGTGGCGACGCCCGTGATGGCTCGCTCGTTGACTGTTGGTGAGAGGTGCTAGACATTACCATCTTCTTAAGGTGATCCGAGCTTGGCAAGTGGGAAGTGGTACTTAAGGGAAAGAAGATGACAACCGGTAGATGTATACATATATGTAGTTGGAAAGGGGTAGTGCTCCCTAAGGCCTAGAGACATACTTCTAAGAGTATATCTCTTTGAATGTACGTAATCGTCTACCTCTATCCGTTGCTTCACTCCCAGCTCATCCAGCAGGGATCTTTATCCCTTGCCAAGCCAAAACCCTTGATACGCTAATGTGATGGATGTTCTTGAACGCACGCAGATCGCGCCCATACTCTCCTATAACTTAGGTACCTTATAGGTTCTCGAGCGTACAACCCTTCTTGGATTTTGCCGTTTGCGGTCAACCAACATGTACACGCGCCTCTGGCTTGTTTAGATATAATTTATGCCGAGATCCTAACCTCTATGAGGTCGTCAGCATACAATGTATCCTGGCGAAGGTCTTATTAAATCAAGACCTGATAAACCCCCACCTGATCTTACATCAATACCCCCCTACTGGTTAGCCACCTAGTTTAAGATCTCAGGCTTCGCTTCTACCGCCCCTTTTATCGGATCAGTCTAGATTACTTATAAAAGTTCGGGGACATGGGGGTGATGGCATGCATGTACATATTACATTAGGAACACATCACCAATTCAAAATGCCACAAGTATACGTTCAAGCATCTTCACAATAGGGTACGATCGAACGTTAGTTATCATGAAAGTTTATGGTTGGTTACTTCCTCGGCCCTGCCGGCCCAAAATAGGGAGTTTTATTGCCCCTTAATCAGCCTTTTAGCACCGTTATCTCGTCTGGGCAAGGTGCAGGTACCGTGTTCCAGACAAACATTTAGGTCAAAGCCAGGGGGTTGGATTAGTCGCACACGTTGGCACATTGCTTAGTATGTAGTACGCCAGGATAATGTTAGATACACACCGGGGAAGAGATTAGTCGCACATACTAATGTATGCTTATGTAATATCGAATCGTCTCTGTTGTGGATGGATGTACATACTGAGTCGTCCTGCTTTTCCCGATGCTGAAACCAATATGCTATATGCTCATCATGAAAGAGGGGAGAAACTTTTTATTCTTTACACTTGGGAAAATGAATAAGCTGAGCCAGCAACCCGATGTCCGACCAACTGACATCGAGTCCTCTTGGTTCCAAGTCTTCTCTCCTTCTCGTAGTTTGTTTCTAGAAGCAAGTTTCGACAGTCCGTATGATATCACTTTAGGCGGGATATATCGTCAGGACACTACGAGCGTAGTAGTAACACCCATTGACGACGACACCGGACATGCGTGTCTTCCAGCTCCCAAAATCTCCAGGGACGAATGCATAGCTCGAGACGTTTTGATACCTAGGCACCCCGCCACCAGCCATCATGTCTCTATTGGCGCTGTACTACCACCATTCAGGTTGGTTGGTAGCTCTCAAACGTTGCGCGAAGTTCGTCCGTGTTGCTCGAGCATCATTGTAGAGCCACAATCACCACACCAAGCTCCAGCCGCCATCACAACGACCTCAGAAATCTACAGCAGCCTTACCAACACTAACGAAGTCTGTTCAGGGTCGGTGTATTCGCTGTGTCGTTCAGAGAAAGAAGGTTTGTCGTCAGCAGTTCACAACATGAGAGAGAGGCGCTAAGCATCCTAGTGTCTGGGCGATAGGCCTCAAACTTGTCACGCATGTCAGAGAGACTCGGTCTACCGCCTATGTTTGAGAACTCGCCTCGAAGACATGCCGATATTCTCAAAATGTAAAGTCTTTCGATCAGACCTTGTTCGTTCGTGCTGATAATAGTGGGGATCTCTGGCTATCGATCTAAACCAACATGGACCCATTTAGAGAAAGTCGCGAAACTATGCGATCTGCGACTCTATCATTTTTCTGGTGGGCCGGACCTGTCCATGAGAGTTCGAGCTTTTGTCCCTTCTCGGCCTGAGGATGTTTTGGTCTGGGAAAAAACACCTACCGGATGGGCATCCCTCGAGACGCTTCCCTTACTCCCAGAATTGCTTGCGGGATGTATTGATAAGTATATCGGCGATTGTTTACCGGCATGCCTAATAGAATGTAACCATGCTCTTGTGAGCGTCGCTTCGCGCGCTTCGCGGATCAGATCCACTCACGGTCTTCTGTCAGAGGCGTTCAGACTCTGGACAGCTAACCAACTTCTCATGAAGGGTTGGCAATCCGATGTTAGCGCCAAATGTACAGATCCTCGGAATCCGTACTACGGGATTCGGCCGGCACCCGCTGTCGTTTCCGAGCAGCTTGATGCTCTTCTCGAATCGTACATACGATGCACACGGTAGCAATGAGGCATTGTTGGATAATGTTACTCACCGATCCCTGGATTTGTTCCTAGGCGCCCAGAAGGTCTGATAGTTTAGTGAACAAACTGAAAAGAAATCCCACGTTAACTTTGCGCCCTTTGAGCAGTGAGAAGTAGCGTGAGACAAAGTTAAACCCAGTGACTAATTTGTCAAGGTGTGCCATAAGCTATAAAAGAAGAACCCAGTAATTCATAGTAGTTTATAATCAAGTGGCAAAGACCCTCAAAAGAAACTAAATGACACTGATGAAGATTGTTTTTTCGACTATAATGTGCCTTGGGGGTTTGTTGCAGCCACGGCTCATGGGCAAACTAATTATTTTGATTGGTATTCAGATAGAAGTATTACTTGTACTCCAGTGTATTACCATATCGGGACCCAACAGGAGGGTAAGGGTACTTCATGCATAGATGGTGAACATGTCTTATTACCATATTAACATTTAGCTAGGCAGGTAATATTCATGAAATAGGAATCATACCTAGTTATCCTATGGTGAAGCTTATTTTAGGGGAAGTGTAGCCTACTTCTATAAACCCTTGTTATTATGAAATACAAGTTCCACGTTAAGCAGTATTAACTAGGTAAGAAAACATTATATAAAGACTGACTTCTCTCTAGCTTTAGGAATCCCCATCTATTGTCAATAGGGCCTTTCACATGCTCCCTTCTCTAGCTATAAGCCTTTTCCATAATCTGGGTTTTCTTAGGGTTAGGATCATCCGGGGGGAGCGGAAGCAATGGTAAAGTAAAAGGAGGTCCAGTTTGTCTCTCCGATCTCGAAATCCATCTGATTGGATAACTTGTAGAAGTGGTCGTCAATGATTTCGAAACAGATGGTGGGGTTAATATCGTAGCTAACTAGGGTTGGGAACCAGAAGGTCACAAATCCTGAATCCCGTCACAACCCATTTCCTAAATCCGTCAGCAACCTCCTCCAAGAACAGGCATGATGTGATACCACTTGCATGATACAGGACCCAGAACTTGTATTTACGGCTCTTTGCTAATCTTGGCACGGCCTCACGGATAAGGGTTGGGATATCTACAACGAGCCCATACCCTGCTGAACCGTGGAGGTCAAGAATGCATAGCCATCTCCTGGGACTCAACGATGTAGCACAAGATCCCGTGAACATATTTATAAGAGTCTGCCAGGCTGACAATGCCTACCATATATGGGGATGCTTGAGTGAGTGTTTAATGCCTCTTCACCACCTGCTGAAGGATAAGTGAGAGTTTACCACTCCGTTCCGTTTCCCTCGCCTCTACTGTATAATATTGTGTGTGTGGGCGTGAACGCGTTTCTTGGGTCGCGTATTGCGCAGGGCATGTTGGGCTATTGGAGACAACTTACGGTAATAATGGCCCCGCAGGGGCTTTCCTCCCTTACCAGGTATTGGAAGCGATTCAAGAAGTGGCAAGCATAGGATGCCAAAGTCTTGGTTGCATCAGTCAAAGTAATCATAGATTTCTGCGTAAGCTTCGCCATTCTCTAATCAAAATCCAGATAGACGTACTTCATTGACGGATCGGATGAGAAGATGCATATGCAGCGTATCAGAGATGGGGACACGTAGGTTGTCTAAACGGCTTTGGTTCCGGACAAGAACCTGGAAGGACTCTGAGTAGATCCAGGCATCAAAGGTCGTCTATAATAGGCTACGTTCGATTTTCAAAAGTAGAATTAATGAGGATCTCTCAAGTTCTTCCTGTCTTTGGTAATACTTGGTCCAATGTCCCTTTTTGAAGGGTCTTGTCATGGGGGGAAAGAAAATAAGCGGACGGTCTGGGCGTACGTGGCAATAGGTATTAGTCTTCGTAAGTATTCATATATCATGGTGGCGATGACAAGCTCTTAATACTTCAATGAATAACAAGATTATTACTCGAACTTCATAAAAATCCAAATTTCTTAAGTAACCATACTACAAGGTCCAGAAGTCTTTCCGAACCATTCCCTCTGCCAACATTCTTTAAACATGGCTGTGGGAAGCAACTGTGCACACTCCTCCAAGATGCTAAAATCCGATAGCACACTCATTCAATGGACCTGCAATCTATGTCACTCAGGTCCCCACTGGTGGATTTTCGAATGTAGATACTGCAAGATTCATACATGCCGGGCTTGTGTTCATAATGTATAGAAACGAAGTGTTGGATCACGCTGCTGTCTCGCTACTCAACCTCCATGGTATGTCCGCTCTCATCCTCTACCACGTCTCATATATCATCCTGTAATATTCATATACAGCTAACCGCGAGCGGAAAGAGAGCCAACTACGCGCCAACTCACTCTCGGCGGCCGGACCTCGAGACTAGTATATGTATCAGAAATATAAAGGATCGCTAAATCTAGACTACGGCATATATTATACTCTAAAGTTGAGGAAATAAGTTGTTAGTACTGCGTTATTATAAACTAACTCAAATCATTCATGTCACTCGTTTTGAATCTATACATAATACTGGATGCCTCAGAAGATGTGGAAGCTTCGTGAGCTATCGCTAAGGGCATAAACGAAGCGAACACTCAGATGTGATTGCTCATTAAGGCAAGCCCGTAAATATTCATCGATGGTCCTTTTGAACTGCAGATATGGTAGTATATATGCATTCCGATTTCTTGCCTTAACGGTCACTAGCCAATGCGGGTCAGATCAGTTTCGTCTTCAAACGCCACCTCCACGACCAAAAGAAGTGCTAGAGTTGCATGGTACTGGGTATTGGGTACTCTCGGGAGCTACGTTGGTAGTTCCTATATGGCCCTTGCTGATGGACACCCTCATGCTTGTCAAGGACGGATTCAGTTGGACTTCAGTTACCCCTATAATAGAACCTTGCCTAGCCTCTACTGCGGCCGACGTAACATAGTCATACGAAGATCGCCAAGCGACGGGTTACGCATATACGCAAGCGATCATTGATATAGTATTTGGAAATTTGGTTATGTTTGATTTGAGCGGGACAAGTATAGGATGCAGACAAAAGTCCAACCCAGATCTGAGTTCCATCGTACCTAGGTTATGGAGCTGTAGTTAAGAGCCAGCCGGGACTGTGAGTAAGTGTGGGTAGATATTGGCATTTGCATTATCTCCCATGGTGCCTGAGTTATTTCCTATGGCGTAAATCTTTACGAATTTATCGATAGTCCTTCAAGTCCTGTGGAGAAGGTAGTACCAACAACTCAATATCTCTCGCTGTATTGGCGTATGCAGGACAGGCCAGCTTCACCTAACGATGTACATCCTATATTCACAGTCGCCACCACAGAAGATCTAGGATCATAGGCAATGTAGGTTTCATCACAGGATGAGGGTTCAATCCATTGCTCCATCTAATGAACGACTGCACCCCCACCCAATACCGTAGAACCCCGCCCCCTTTTCCCCATCCCCCCCGGCCCCGTCGCGAAATCCGTCACGTAGCGGTACTTCGGGGAGGCCGTAGCGTAGCATTCAGACATGTTCCGACAAAAATGCCGTGCTGTAATAAGTTACGTTAGCGGCGTCCAGAGGCCTCCACAGCGAGAGACCTACGGCTGGGAACGTACAAGGCCTATGAGAAGACGCAACAGTTGCATAAACATAGAGACCAAATGAACTGCACAGATCAACGTGCAGGCAGGTACCACGCCTAAGGCGATGGCGAAGCCAAAAATAAGAAGGCCAGGCACCGATTTTAGGAAGGAGATTCCAGCTCGGGACAAAAGGAGCGAACCGTTGAGATCTTGGCCATCTATATCAAGCCAGTCCCACTGTCGAACCAGACGTGGGTGCGTAGAGAATAGGATGAGACTCCAAGAGAGGCAGTGACAACACTTGGACAGATGGTGAAGTAGATGATCCTTCAATGGCGCGCGAGGGGACATGGCGGATGCTTAGACAGATGGGTATCCAAAGTAAGTACGATAGCCGACAATAGAAACCATTATTATATTATGTCGTGCGGGCGCTATGGGTGGGGGAAGTGGTCCGATTCTAGGCTGCCCCAACGCCCCCACTGCAGCGTCCACGCCGGCCATCATTTATATGACATCGAGATCTATGCAGCATCAAGGAAACTCACGCATAGGCTTCCAGGGCACCGGGCCTCCATTGAATGCTTTATTGGACACATGGTAACAAGGTCGCCCGTACGCTAATCACTCGGCTTCACTAGGATATACAGCATAAGGATATGTGCTTGGGTCTAACTATGCTAAGGTCTCACACTATCTCAAAGATAATGCTCGTACTTTCGTTACAAGGCAGATCCCCTTGCTTGATACTTGGTGGTCACTCCTTTGAGAAGTTTCGTCGTTTCCACTTAGTCTCGCAGAGCTTCTGGAGTGATGGAAGCCAATCTAGAGACGCGTCACTGTATCCAGGGTCGGCGTCTGTAGTCATCAGCTTGTCGTGATACTCCCGTGCTGTCTGGTCTAACTCCCTATAGATAGCCTCGAATCCCACCTTCTTACACGAAGTAGCGAAGACAAATAATAGCTCATTCAGGCCATCCTCAATCGTATTGATGGCTTCGGGAACGGGATATCCCTTGCTTAGTGAGCTATGAGAACAGGGAGGAATGGAGCGGAAACGTACCTCTGTCGAGTGTTCTTTACCGCATCTGCGTTGATCCTCTACAACCCACAAGCTTCCGTCTACCAAGACACGCAACGCGATATAACCGGCGTGGATTTTTGTGGGTTCCTGAGACATCAGCAGCTTGTATACAAGTCCATCTGGACATTGGAATAGTTGTTGGGCCCACTGGTCCGAGATTTTGGTGCTGAGAGTATCCCACTGGGCAACAATCAATCGAGGCACAGGTACGCTGCCCGGCATGGTCTGGGCGTCGTGGGGAATGGGGTCGATTCCGAGGGTAGCTTCGCCAACGATGCTAGCCGAACCGGTTTTCCACCCTGTCTACGTGTTAGCTCTTTGTTGGGAAGTAAAAAGGAGCACCAGGGGAGACTTACATCTGGCATGTTCATAGGAGAGAAGCAATGTCAGTGCCCGTGAAGTATCGTCGCCACCATGCTCTTGGATTAAAGATACCAAGTCTTTATATGATCGGCATTGCATAAGGTCGCAGTTCCATCTTTCGGCGTTCTCCGTTGACAGCCGTATATATCTTGTAAGTAACATCTCCAGGTTTGTAGACCGTCTTACCTACGACTACTTGTATTGTCTTGAACCCTGTTGAGATGCAAATGGTCTTGGTAAGTTCGTTGCTCTAATCTGTGGTGATGACAGGCTCTTTGCTATCTTCCCACCTGTTCGTGAGGTCCAAGCCTCCTCTTCGGTGTAGTACTATGGACATTGTGACTCGGAAGATTGTACGAGTACGATAGCAAAATGAGAGGAAGAGAACTGGGGTCTGGCCGAATACGAAGAATAGGATGCCGTTCCATTACCTGTTCTTATCCCCGCTACCGCTCGCAGCTGGCATCGACTCTGCTGGACCTTTCGTGCTTATGCCCCTCTCCACATAGTATGTACCATCCTAGGGCCCTCTACGCCACCTAATTGAGCTACGTCCTCTAGTCAGTTCGACGAGTCACTGGACACGGATCCCGATAAGGAGTCTAACCTACCGGAGCGTTCCCCTGGTTCAACCGGCACATATTCTGCTAGTGAAGCCATAGGGGGAATGGGGGACGTGGTGTAACAGAAGAGCTGTTCTATTAAGCACGGATACCTGTAGGCACGTAATGTCAAACATAGTTCCGGCACTGTTTCTTATGTACGGGACAAGTTATAACTACGGTTGCATCCTACACGCAGCCAGCTAGTTGCGGCGTGTGGTATTCTCATGCTTGGTAGACAAGTGAGACCATTTTCTGCGCTTGCTATCCACTACCAGGTTTCCAGTGGCTTCGCCATGTATTTATAATGTAGCGAGTACGGTACCTGTATCTGCAGAAAGGCATGACTGTGGCCTAGGCTGGCCCGGCTGGGCCGTAAGCGTCCCGTCATGCTCTTCCATAGGCCTTGGGCTGTCGGCCCTCCCCTAGTAGACCACTCATGTCAATCTCCGAATTAGGAATGTATATACTAGCGTCGCCTGTGCGTGAGCCATGGTAAGGACACCGATATACACCCGAATCAGCTTATCTCTAGACCCCAGCGTATATGTATCCGATCTTATGCATATATCTCCAGTGGGTGGCATAACCGCTCCTATCCTGGCCCTGTCGACATGTTATCTCGAGCGCCACCTCAAGTCCTACGTACGATTTGTAACATCTTCGATCGTACGAGAGGAACCCACGCTAGAGATTAATGGGGTGGAAGCCTTTTCAGCATGTTCGCGTAGTACTATCATACTCCTGCGGCTAAGTTTTCAACAAGTGCAGAGCCGGGCTAGTTCTCCCACTCTTTGTTGTAAGCAATACTATCTACAACGTAGCTACAAAGCTTTCTTCATGTCCGGGCTTAACGCGCGTTGTGCCTCTCGCCGAGCGACCGGGGGAGGAAGGGGCGACAAGGGCGAAGTAACAGGGAATGCATTACGTTGCAGCAAACAGGGTACGTGATTCAAACAGCTGCTTGAGCCCGTACATGGATATAATCAAATTGCTGCTATGGCGAGAACCTTAGCCACTCAGCTTCTCGTTGCCATATTTATAGCTCGAACAGGGGTCACCCGCTTGGGCGGTCAAGAGGCGACGCTAAGACAGACATGGAACTACGAGATGGCCTCCAGTCTATACATAGCAATACATGGTAATCGAATCGATGAAATAAGACTGGGGGATAATGGTCACTTCGAACCACCTTTGGCAGAGCTCTTGTTCTTCCCAAGATAGATGAAGCTTGTCATAATATGGGTGGGTCCAAGCACCACCACCAAGGAGTTAAGTATCTACCCCAGAATAGACTCAGCTTCGGTAACCTCTTCCCTACGGAGTATCCGGCAGTAATTTTGCACCAAAGACTTGCCGGCCTTGGGTCTACGCGCATCTACCCAGTCCTGGCTCCCGTATCTCAATGTCAGATACCACAGCATGACCAGCAAGTACAATACGAGCTGCTCGATGGCTGTCTGCTACCGGTCTGCCTACACCCCGTTAGTCACGTCACCACATTAGTGTGGTATTCCGCATATTAATCACACTATACCCTGCACGCTATCGTCACATAGCTACCGGCAACGGCCAGCCCAGCTCAGATCGGCCTTAAGAAGTCTGATCTACGGAGACTGTAGCAGACATGATAAAGATCCGGGAGACTATCCATTGCATCCAACAATTCAGCCTACCTGCGTCGGCGATCGGAACTTGCAAGAGCGAGCGCCCCAGCTAAGCCATCTACGGTATTTATGCCGGCCACAGGGGAGGTTCCCTCTTAGACGGCGCTTCTATCGAGACGAACGTTCCGGCGTGGACAGCAGAGCTACACTAATTACAATGATATTATTCATAATATACACACCAAGTACCATTGCTCAGTCTTATTGGCACAAATATTATACATGCCTTCTATAAAGATGGTGGCGTCGGCGCCGTCTCATTTGTCACCATGCATGAGATCAAGGTAGTCCGCCAGGCGAATGAGGCTACTCATCTCAGCCTGAAGCGCACTGGTCGGATAAGCGATCCTCTGGAACAACGATATGACCCACTTAAATAGAGCGCGCAATATCTTTCGGTCGATGAACCTGCTGAGGATATCGTTCTTGGAGCAGGCAGCCAGCACCAGGAGATTTTCACATTGACTAGATCGTTAGTATGAGTAGATTGAAAAGTGGGCATAGTATGATGACGTACGTCTGAGCCATCCGTGGCAGGCCAAAGATTATTAGGTGCTGTTTATCCAATCCCCGAAAAGCCTGTATGCTCTCGAACAGTGCTTCGATGGCCAGTTTGACAAATGATATCGTGGTAGAGTCCATTATGCTGTCTGCATTAGAGGCTAGAATACTCCGGTATAGACCAGGAGGGGTAGGTTTCCTTTCGAGCACAACTTCAAGAAAAGGAAGATAAAGAGCAACTTGTATGTCCCAGTACCTCGCGCGAAGGCAGGCGGATAACGCATCACTAGGCGGAGGGTCGCCGTCCTTCCATTGCGAACTTGGAGGCACCCACTTATCTCTGGAGTTCTTGAGTGCCCCTTGCAGCTCTATAATGGCGTCTTCTCGATTCGTGCATCTTGTATATTTCAATGGACTGTGCACAGATACCAGCTGCTTCCGAAGATACAGCTGAGCTACGTAACACCCTATGACAAGCTGGGAAACGCCTCGACTCGTGGCAAGCTCTAGGTTCGGATACGGCATCTTCGCTTCGTACTGTTGGAGGCCCGACGGAGGTATAGGCAATGTAACGCGAATATCACTAGTTAAAAGACCAAGGTTAATAGCGAATGCAGTACGACGTATCAAGGAGCGTCTACCTCTCTAGTCCCAGGCATGTCCAAAAATTAATGATGAGTTGGTTATCCTCGGTCGACTCTCCAGCATATGAATTACCCATTGGAGAGAGAAGTAGTTTATTAAAGGTGCTATTGTAGTCAGTATACCCGTCTTAAATATAGGCAGTAGGATTGGGGTGCAGACCGTTGGACGATAGCTTGTATTCTCTGGCTTGCTAGAAAAATGTAGGACCAACTCTCCGGAAGGCGTCCTAGACTAGCGTAGTACAAGCCAGCAAGGAGATGGATGCAGACGTGATTGCATACGTTCTGGTGCTGGCAGCGACCGCCCACCTCGCCAGTGCCCACCGCAAGCGTGAAATAGTCTAAAGAGTCCAAGTTGGGCATCCTACCTGGGTCTGGCACCTCTGAATGTGGATAGGGAATCTCGCGCATAATAGCGCCTGGTAGAGAAGAATGTCGGCCTGCGCTTGCGTGTATGTCTCCATTCCTGTCTTCTTCCGGTGAAATCGGTGAGTTGGGTGTCGGCTGAGAATGGTTACGAGATTGTGCTTTGGACTCCCCAGCAACGTCGGAGATCTTGCCTCGGCGAAAACAGAGCTTACCAAGAGCGAGGACGAGTAGAATAAGAGCATCTTCCTCGGTACGCAAGAGACGCTCGTGGTTCGGAATTGGAATGGAGGTATATCGCTCATCCATCACGAACGATCGCTTCCTCTTCTGGCCTGCCGATTGAGCCTCAAGAGGAGGGGTAACCCGACTGTAGGTGTCTATATGAAATCGCTCGTGTAGAAATTCCGCGACCATGATATCAAGCTCCGCAGGGGCGATAAGGGGATAAAGGCTGAGGACGTTGTCCTTGAAACTCCGTACGTATCTCCGTACCGTCTCCGGGTTCCACCGAGGATCCTGTTTAGCATTAGGGTTGCGCCCGTGCCAATCGTTGGAAGGTGGCGGCGTCAAAGCAGAGGCTTGGCTCCATCCATCGATAGGGGAAGCAGGGGACGCAACTAATGGATGGATCACCTCATTGACGTCTCTCCGTGATAATATGCTCCGGTAGCCGACCCGGGAGGACGAATTACGCACCAATTCACGGACAGATGACCAATTCGAAACCGCGTGACGGATAGGCATGAATAGTTCGTCTGCCAGGGCATCTTGCATGTTTTCCCGTATAACTTCTCCGATCTGTTCGACAGAGGCGGGTGCCCTAGAGTCAGGCTCTTCGTGTAGTGTGAGCCCTCTCACACATGCCAGTATTTCTTTTTCCGTGTCCTCTAGTTTTGCTTGAAAGGTCTCGGTTAATCTTTCCTCCAAAGAACGAATCGCATCGAGGATAGTATCCTTTCTATTTCTGTATTAGTTGCGAACCATTCTTGACTAGTTAAAGCTTACGGCTTTGCTGGCAGGTCTTGGTAATGGCATTTCGCCTGCTTGTCCCTACAATTCTTGCATGGCCGTCCCTCATCGCATTTCGCTTTCAGCTCCCTACAGAGATCGCAAGCCTGGTATGCAAGGTCAGAACTCAAAAGCAAATGCTTCATGAATACGATCTTACCTGGGAAGCCCGCAGCACTTTCCGTTTGGCAATTGTGACTGGGTACAAGGGAGCTTGATGTTGATATTCTGCCTGCGGTGGTACGTAGTTGTGAACTGCCGAGATAGGCTGATCCATTAGGGCCGGGAGGCCATGTGCAGGACTTGTCGCACTTGCTGCAATATAGCTACCTTGATTGTACCGCGGATAGCTTTCGCGGCTAGGATACTGCTTCATGTTTGGCGGACAGGCCAACCTGCTGGTCATATGTGAAAGGGAAGAGCTCGGCAGAATAGGCTCGCAATGTTGGATATCATTATGAGGGTGGTAAGAAGGTATTGTCATATATGAAGAACTCGCTCACTTAGAAGAATAGTAGATTGTGATAAGCATCCACCACACCAGGACCAACTGGGCAGCAAGCTTTTCTCTCTTTGGTTTAGACTTGTCCCAAACCATGTCGAGGGCTCTCGGAGATACACTCGATGCGGTTACTACTTCCAGCCATCCCAGGTTTCCTTTTGGGGGAAGGAACGGAGTCTATCACTGTGGTAAGGGACATGGCAATAGAACCTGTCTTGGCAGCACCGTGACGGCCATGGTACAAGTACGATGTGCACCGTATGATGAAAGTGGCAGAGGGCGTCGGCGAGGTACAGACCAAAACTTCGCAATTATGTTAGACGAACAGACTGTGTGGAGAACACGAACCCCGACGCGATTGGCCGCTGACGCAAGCTTAAGCTTTGAATGGGATGTCCGCCTCATTGTCACGGCAATGGTAGAAAAGCAGATGTTGTAGGTCATGTAAGACCAGAGATGGTGTCAGAATACCTAGGTAGATACAAAAAAGAGAATACAAGATTCAGAGAACCACAACAGTGGCCGTACAGGAAATTTAAATCAAAGCATATCTTGTTGTACAGGCGAGGCTATATCCTGCAGGACTACCAAATACTTTCTCCATCCGGCCAATTCGCTTATCTGTGAAATATAATACATATCCCTTGAGGGCTCCTCGCTATTCCAGCGATCTTCCTCTGGAGATTAATATCCGTGCAGACCAGTAACTGAGTTCCCCCCAGATCCAAACTCTCTCGCCAGAGAAATCCAGGATATAACAGGGCATTCCTGTGCCGTCTTGCGTAATGATAGAGATCTTCCCTTGGTCAACCCATCCACTGCGGAAGTTCCTGTAGTAAAAGAGGAGGAGCTGATAAGCGCGGGACCACCATGGCTTGCATGACCTGATGATCATCTCCTCGCCGAGCACAGAGCCTCGCATCACCTCAGTTGACACCTTTATTTCCGTTTTGCCTAATCGGATAGAGAATTTCTCCCCGTTACTGCAAGGAGATACCTCGAGAGTTACAGCCTGGTCATGTAAGTCAGTATTGCGAAGAACGAGAAGGAAATCTGTGTACGTACCGAAGCCATGGTCGAGGAGCAGCGTCTGGCCAATCAGAGTTTGGGGATATGGCAACTCCGGGGGAGGTGACAGCATAGGATGGAATGAGAGGTTGCGAACTGCACGAAAGTGCATTTCTCTAAACCTTCGGGGCGGCTGGGCAGACTTATATGCACAAAAGCCGGAGCTAGCTTTCATTAGCCAGTAATTCGTGACTAGAAAGCCCCTGAGCGAGGTTCTTTGCATATGATTGGAATTCCTATTAGCTCTCCTGGGCCGATGTACCCAGCCCGTGCACCAGGAATAGCTACGAAGGAGGCAGAAGTGAGTTTGGGAATACGTTCTAGCACATCCAGGGACAGCAGGCTAAGAAATAGTTGCCTTTTAATAGTAGCGCTAAGCAACGTTTTAGCAAGAATATTAAAACCGAGACCAGGAGAAACATGGTCAAGAATTTAACAGTAATAACAGCAAGCAAGGCGGTACGAAGTTTTACAGCATATACTGCATGGGAGATGTAACAAGGTGGCTAACATGGCAGGAGATCGTCGGTCTCCACTTAGACGTACAGGCCTTGGTCAAGCAACAAGCCCAATCCATGTTTGAATTTTGGCTTGGAGTTAAGAAATGCGCCATACCGAATTAGGTCTGCCCTTGAGGGCAGACCTAATTCGGTATGGCGTGTCTTGTCTGAAGGAATCGTGCGAGTGTGTTTTTCTATCTACTTTGTGTGTTTCTGGGTGGTAGTCATGTAAACGCAGATCTAGAAAATGGGTCCCCAGAAAGGCACGCGTATTGATAACTTCAGTGGTTCTAAAGACAGATATATTGAATATTTAGAAGCCAATGTCTATGACTTGCGAGAAGAGCTCAAGAAATTGCGTCCGAAATCCACTTCCGCAGCAAGCCGCGGCCTAGAGCTGCAACACGGTCTCTTAACAAGCGTTTTCGAAACTCCTAAAGCCCAAGTTCCGGAACAAAAACCTCCATGGAAGACAGCGCTTCTGCCGTTGATAGAACGCATCCCAACCACAGAAGCCGGATGGAGACAAAGGAGGGAAACTCTGCAAATGGTAACCGAGGCTGACGTTATTGCCTCTATTAAGTGTTTGACACGCTCCTCATCACCCTATATGCCACACGAAAACAACGAGACATCGGAGCATAGTATGACTTCAATTGCTATCGTTAAAAATTATCGCAATTATACGGCTATACTCAATCAGCATCGGGAACGGTCAACGCAAATTTTCCATTTCGGCACACTGCTATATATCTGCTGCTGCATCGTAGCTCTAGAAACGGGAGCTGACAAATATGCTGTCGAGGAAGATATGAGGGCATTTCTTTCATCCAAGGCAGGGTCAGCCTATTTGCGTGAAGTCCGAAGAGGTGCTCTGTGGGTGATCCAAAGGATCAAAGAGCTTGTCTCTAGTGGTCTTGAGCATCGCGCCTGGGAACTGTTCTTCCTTTGTATGTTGTCGCTAGATCAATACAAGACCATCTGCTGACCACAACTCAATAGGCGGTATGCATATCCATGCGTATCAGAAGTGCGTGCATCACAGAGATTCATCGGATTTTACCAGACTTGTCCCAATTTGCAGCCCACCCGAAGAGGTACAGGCTCGTATCCCTTTTAATATTCCGATCCTTGTTTGGAAGATCAGCCGCGGGCAGTGGAGGCGAGTCAAATGCTAGCACCTTGTAACTTAGCTAACTCGGCTTATAGTATCGAGGTTGTTAATACAGCATTGGGGACAGAGGTGTCCATATCTGAGGTCGACGCATGGGACGCGGCCTTTTCCGCTTACGAAATTGAACGTCCGACGATGGGACGCCCTTCGAAACGCCGCAGAATAGAAAAAACTACTTCTGAGATCACTGCCGACGGGTGCGAAGAACAAGACATGGCATTGGATGGCAACGAGGCAACGGACGGCAACCAGGGTTTGCATATCTCAGTCGACGCTGCAGAGATGCATTCGCAAGACGCACGCACCCAGGTGATCAGGGATAGCACACACCCACCAGCTACTGAATATTCGCCTGACTCGATATCGCGCAGGTCTTTTATGAATCCTTCTTTTATGGATGACCTTCACCATTGGAACCTAGGTGGAGACGACTTTGTGGCCACAGGATATGACTGTTATTTCATCGAAATCGCTCCCAACATCCACGAGCTAATTCACAGCGCGCAAAAGTTCACAATCGACCATATCCCGAGAGTAACAGCCAACGTGGACCACATACTCAGCTATGGAGCTCGGCTTGATGTTGACCAGCATGGGCCTATTGCAAAAGCACGGATTTTCGAGTTGCAATGGCCAAGTGTCCTCGACAGGAAAATGGATGAAGCCATCAAGTCGCTGGTGTGTTCTTCCCCTACTTATGGAAATGCCCGTGCTAACTAAGAAAGTACCTCAATGTCCAAATAGTAGCTAGGCAGCCGTCCTATGACTGGGAGGCGCTGTTAGTCCATTTGGAATTTGGCCGCGTGAGAGCTCCAGACAGTGTACTCTGTAGCATATTCATACCCGTTAGGATGGTCGAGAGCGATGAGAATAGGCGTGTTCAGTTTGAAAGTGATGAGGTTGGGACTCTGATGGCCATTAAGACATGGCCCCCATTGGTTATACTCCCTAGGACATCCTGTATCAGGCGAGTCAAATGTCCGCTTTTCTTCATATGGGTGCGCATATATCCGAAAGGCACACTGGGATTCGAGTGAGAGCAGTTATGGATATGGAGCTAGGCGTATATTAGCCTAAGCTTAGGGCACGGCTACTGTGTAAAGCAGTTTACTACATATATTGTCAACCATCCCGAATTTAACAGAAGTTCCCTGTTTCTCACCTTTTAAATTAATATAAAGAAATGATACTGCAAGACCTAGACGTTTTCAGCTCGTGGAGGATGTAGCTGATACTACATATAATTATACCATTAAGCCAGAAGATTCGTGAAGACACGCGATGGCACACGAGATTTTTCCTTTGGTCCGGAGTTACTTCGGATTTAATCAGTACCCCGCATATTCTACACCAGCCCAACTAGGGATCACTTATCAGCAGGATATCGCCACGGAGTGCACCTGAAGGCGTAGCAAAGCATTATCATATCAAGTTTATGGCCGATGAAAGCCTAAAAATCATGCCCACTCTGGTCCAGTCAAGTCCCTTATGGACAAGTTACGGAGAACTCAACAACGAGGAAATCGAAGGACTTATCATCGAAAGTCAACATCTTACCGAATTGCTACAAGCCGAGCTTAGGCTACGTGGTGTAGGCGTAGCAGAAAATTTTATCCTAGGGCGTGACGTACGGCGGAAAGCAGAAAAGATCCAGGAGTATGGTTTGACCTCGTCTGATCGCGAGCTAATAGCGGACGCCAATCACCTCGGAATGGCTGTTATCAGGGGCGGCCTGAACTCCGCCAAACATGGCTTGACGCAATGGAAACATATCAGCTATACCAAGTTGATTTGGTTGGTGGCCAATGTCACAACGTCTGCGCATGCGCTCCTTCTCGTCATCGCTCTTGGAAAGAACAGACTGGAAAAGATTAACCTAATGGAGAGGTCGAGGCTTGTGTCTTTCATCAAGCAGCATGAAACCACACTTCTCTGCCCCTGTCTTGTGCCTGTCGCTCGTTTGCCGGTAGACTCCCTCGATAGTACGTGGTAGTAAGAAATCAATCAGCATAAATAGTAACCAGTTAACTATAGTGTCAGGTATAGCCACGTCGAGTCGCTTCTCTCATGAAAATCCTTGCGATATACAAGACATCAACACGATAGATATTTCCGTAGTCTTAGGGGCGGACAGCCCATTTTCTCCAGACCCCAATCCCTCGCTTGGAACTGGCCCGACGGATTCGGTGGTCGACATTCACAATATAAAAACCGCAGAATCGATCAGTCAAGGTGTGCTGGGCACACATCGAAGGCTCACTCAGTCGGAAAAGAAGGATATCGGAGCGAGTAATACATCTGCTTCCTTGGTGCCCCTGCGACACGATAGGATATTTCACTCTGAGCGACCACTGGCCTCTAACTCTACCATGGACCGGGTCGAAGTTGTACTCCGGCAGATCCGACGCTACGCCGATGGACGCACTATATTAAGTCTAAAACAAGAGAAGGCAGCATTCGACTTTTTACGAAGCATGCAGAACAAGCTGATTTACGGCGTAGGAATCATGGTGGAAGAACCCACCCCGCATGCATGGCAACTTATGAACGAAGGCTGCCAAATGATGGACGCTGTTCTGATGCAGCAATCACGTAGCATGATCCGTTTGATCCTCCGCATATTTGGCGGAGAAGGGTGGGGTCGTTTCCCCAAGCTCCGCGCCGGTATTCTGAAATATTTTACAAGCCTCACGGAAGTGCGGCTTGGCCGCCTTCACCCGCTCTTCGTAATCCTGTCTCATCTGCAGGACCAAGAGGTTTTTGAGAGCACGCTAGAGAAGGCTTTCTTGCTTCTTATGGACGGGCTAGAGAAGCTCAACCCCGCCGACGACGAGATGCGATTTCTACGCGTCGACTTGTGTTTTCTCCTTCGCGAACGGCGCAACTACGCTGCGGCTGAACAGTATGGGCTCCGCTTCCTAGCTGAGTCGGAGCGCACCCACGGCCAATGCGACGAAGTGACGCGAGGATATATGCTCAAGGTGGGCGATATATACATGCATCAGAAGCTGCATGAGCATGCCATACAGATGTTTGACAGTGTGATACGCAGCTGCGACGCGTCACGGATGGGCCTAGACATTGCGGGCGTGTATGCACATCGCAACCTGGGCTGGATTTATGAGGAATTAAATGAGAAGAGGGCATCCCAAATCCATTGGAAAGCGGTTGTTGAGGCTGCGCTGCACATATGGGGCGAGGGGGCGGTGGAGCGTGAATATTTCATGGCCGAGGCCAAGGAGTCGCTGTACAGGCAGAATTGTGACATAGGGACTTGTGAATGAAGCTCAAGTCCGCGATTGATAGCTTGCCTCGGATTTCTTGGCCTAAGACCTCTCATCAGGTAGGGTCTAACGAAGTGTTATTATCTTTCCAACCATAGCAATTATTGCTCTGCAAGCTCTAAACTATATCTTAGCTTGAAACACAAAGAGGATGATCATCACAAGTGACTCTGCCGATGAAATCTCCATCTGCCTTGTAAAGCATCACATGAAAATGCTCAATACCATCAATCGACTTCAGGCTGCTCCAATTCTTAAACCAGATCACCTTGCTCCTCTCGGGTCCACCATTGTCGCAAAAGACCTTAACTACGAAGTTCTCTATGACAGCACGAGTAGATGACAAGATATCGTCGGTTATGGATTCGGTCTCAAGAACGAACTTGGTCCAGACAACCAGATGGGTGATATCTGTGCTGATGCCATAGGGCCAGTCATTCCATAGAATGGTATAGTCGGTCGGGTTGCTGAACGGAGGTTCTCCTGATGGGGTGTCAGACTGCCATTTAAGGCGTTTCTGTCGTACATAGTTCAATATGGATCCATATTCCTTTTGAACTTTGAATTTGAACTCCAAATAACGTCGTAGATCACTTGGGACCCGGCGGAAGCTAGCAAGATCATTCCGAGCTAATTTCATCACAATGAGCGAACTGTAAGTAATTCAATGCTATGGCAATGATATAACGAACCTACGATTTCTTTGACCTGTTCCCATGAGTCGCGCCGATAATCATTGTCCCATGTTGACAGTATGCGTTGGTCCTTATCTGATATATCCCGTAAGAAATCCGGACACTGCTCGGTTCTCTGGTCGGGCGAAACATTCACCTGCCAGTAAGGCAGCTGATGCAATTTAGTGGTATTCTCTGAATTTGACATGGCGTTGCTAGGTAATAGACAGGAAATGTACACTTGGGACAGTTCAGAAACGAATGAAGTCTTGTCTAAAAAGTGAGGCTGAGAGGAAATATTCATGCACACACTCCACATGGGCCGATCCCCCACGCTTAGGAGTCATAGCACAACCATTTAAATCACTCCCCGGGATTCGTTCCCCAACCCCCTCTAAGGACAGGGATAGGCAATTCTAGCACTAACTTCATCTATTCACGCCTCGGGAATCATTCCCACACACCCCTCTCGTCTTTTCAGACGCACGTGATATACGGATTATAACTACAGCTCCAACCGGTTCGGGAGCAGAACTAGACCAAAAATAATAGCCATCAGAGAACTCCCAGTTAGCGCTTATGACTGACCCACATAGAAGTTAATGCCACGCAGGGCTATTCCAATTGACCAAGGTTTCATTTTTATTCAGTCCTAAAGACCAAAACAGGAGATCTCGGATATTTCCTGGAAAGAATGCTATTATGAGCAACATAGAGGGTCATAAGTGCAAGGTTTCGGGTAGAGCATAGGATAAGACATCTTTCATGGCTTAGGAAGTAATTAGGAACTGTGGAATCAGTTGCTGGTGCTTAGATCGGCTGCTGAAGCACGTATGGAGCGATTAGACCTCTAAGCTTCCTGAACGGAATACCCTCATGTTTTCGGTTCTCGACCCGAATTTTCGATCCTTTGCTAGACCTGCTCACGTATCAGGAAACGGGGACTGAGCTGGTGAAATATGCAAAACCCTTCAATAGATCCGAGAAGCAAGTTAGATTTACTTATATAGTCTTTGATTCTCTTAGATCGTGATCGACTATGCTTCATTGTCAACCATCAACACCATTGCTTAGATCAAGTGCTTTGATTGTGAGAAGATGTAGTCCCCTTTTTACCGCCCTGCGTAGACCCGCCTACGACGGTGACCGTGCCATCGTCGTCCTCTTCGGCGTAATCTTGTCCAGCAACGCCAACCCAGTCGCTTCTACATGCCTTCATACTTTCGGGGTCGTGCTTGAAGCTATACGGATACCCAGTTAGTAAACTATATATCTGATAGTATAGGTTATCATACAGTGAACCTAGATATCGGAAGCTGCTATTGAGAATACGAGCGTGTGAAATATCTAGTTCTGAGGCTGAGTGATTGTCTTGGAGAGTAACTTAAAAATGTCGTGAGTTCTAATTCATATGTTGTCAGACAGCCGAGAGAATTATAAGATGAATTGGCCAGGAACTGTCTATCTGTAAAACAGGCAATCAAGTTCTATCTGGCGGCAAAGGGACACTTTAATATACATCCCGGAGAGACCAGGCGTTTAGAAATATATCACTATTGTGCCATTCTAGCTATAGATGACCGAGCTGGGGAACTTGTCTCTTGGTTGAGGCCACTACGATTACGCAACCTATAAAGCTTCTAACTTGGTTGCGGAACTTGCGCGCGCCGCCCCCATATGAATGCTTGTCTGCATCCTGTGCTTCCGCTGTTCGAATCAAACATGACCAAGTTTCCAAATGGTAATCTCACGATCGCCGATGCTACGTTATGGTTAACCATATAGAAACGAAGTCCAGAGCATGCAGAAACTGGAGAAGACGCCGCCTCCAAGAATCGACTCGAAAAAGCTCGGCGCATATACTGCATTAAGCGGTTACCTTTGTTGCCAACGCGAGATGCATTGGGGAAATATAACTTGGACTCTCGAGTCGCAATACAGTATCGTAATAAGCTAAGTACCTAGTTGGGTGCTATTTATACAGGATTTGAAGCAATTAGCGAATATTTTATAGAAACCTTGTCTTCATAAAAAGGTAGGCCCCTAGGCTAATGGTGAGTGGCTACCAAGCCAACATGCGGAAGATAGAAGGAAAACAATGACTCGGCGATGTCCTGTAACAAAATTGAAAATTGTACTCTCAAAACACTTCTGCGACTAGCTTTGACGTGGCGATAGGGGATAGAAAGAACACCGATTAACAAAACATCTTGCGTGTCTACTAAGTGACTTTAGGGAGCGATCCGCCTATTCCTGCTACATAAGACCCTCCCATGCTTCGGGACTCGGTTCCGCCTTCGATATGCTCCAGTAGGTTAGGTTAGGTTAGACCAAAGACCTTATGACAGAGTGTTCGGAATAATGGTAGGTGGAGGGAAACGAGGATATTAAGGCAGGTAAGCATCAAGGGCCAAACCATGGAGATACACCTACCTTCCCTAGGGCCAATGTAGATATATGCCAGCTCTTTATCATCAGGAAGTTAGAAATACCCGTCGAGACAAAGAGAATGTACTGATCTTGGGAAGCTAGGGTGTCATTTGATCAAACCCATGCTACTGAGGCTGACTGAGCGCAACCTCGACTGGTGTGTGCACACGACGTGACGGGTGTATGTTTATGAAATGTGAGGACCGGTGTGGTGCGTTGGTTGTCCCTAGGGTGTGCGCACACTACGTGACGGGTGTACAAATAGGGTAGGAAATAATAGCATCGCCCCAGTCTTGGTAGACCAAACTTGCAACCCCCTTTCCGTGTTCCATGCATAAGAAATAGTGCCATCATCGCGTTGGATAGTATATTTATACCGGTATCCGCGCTTGATAGAGGCCTTTTCTATGTTGCACTACGCCCCCTCCGGCTTCGCCAGTAGGATATACGCGGATTTAACATGAAAACATTCCGGTAGACTGAACTGCTCATTTGGGACCCGCATCTAGGGACTCTTTAGACGAACTAGGAGTCGTAGCTCAATTATGTGGCGTAGATGACCTTAGTCCAATCCCTGCTGCTCTGCAATAGATCGTCAGGGCGTCTTGGAGCCCTCAGCTATGAGCTGCTTGGGTTTTGGTACAACATATACATCATATCACCTACAACTACGAAAAAGCCTAGTGTCTGTTATCTCCGCATCTGCTTCGATGCATCATAACGTTCATGCATCCCACGCTATCCATCGAGATCCGGCTTCCTTCCTGCCTGGCGAGCCTTGTCTACCATTTCACACTGACTGTCGCACACTTCCGTTGGCCCGTAACCAACCTCCAACTCCTAAGGAACGATAACGGTCGGCAAGAATGGTTGATTAACCTGAATAGGTTGCCGTCTTCGCGCGTGTAAAAATGTATAGCCTTCATAGTGTGTGGGATTGTGATTTCTAAAGCCCACCCATCCTGATATCTACCAGGCAATTCAAATCTTCCCGTAATTTGCCCAATTCTCGTATCTTTTGGGTAGA